AGCTGTGAAACACTATCCTTATTTCCGTAGGGTAAGATCACCAGTTTTACTGAAATGAGCAGTTGTATTCCTTTGCAATGTCAACAAACCCAGTGACACGGAATGGTTCACTGTCAAGAGGTGTCGACACACCTCGTTCAGAATTATTAAATGCAAGAGGGAGATAAAGCTACCCTATTATTTTTGCAGCGTATACTTGTATTTGAAGTTTTGATAAGTGGTATAGATATATGGAGCAATGGGTCTATAGGGGTTGTATATGGTGAAGGTTTTGTGATAGGGGTTGAATGGTAATGGATCTATGATAGGGTCTGTATATGGTGAAGGTTTTGTGATAGGGGTTGTATGGTAATGGATCTATGATAGGGGTTGTATGGTAATGGATCTATGATAGGGGTTGTATATGGTAATGAATTTATGATAGGGGTCGTCTGATAATGGATCTTTAATAGGGGTTGTACTGGTATGGCAATAGATCTAGGATGGTTGTATGGTAATGGATATAGAAATCCATGGTTTCTCATGATGGCATTGGTTGCATAGATAGGGAACGCTAGTAATGATGCCAAGAGCGTGTATGCTAACGGAGCTACAATAAGGGTTGATAATGAAGCGCACTATGATCAGGGGTTGTGGTAATCGGTCCATCAGCACTTACCCGCGTAATAACAAGGCCTCATGATGGTCAAAATACCCTAATACACTTCCGCTAAATCGAAAAAAGTAGTTTTTAAAAAAGGATGTAGTTCCAACACAATTGTGATCATGACGAGTAAGTAAGCTGGTATGTAGGTACTGTTGTCTTCCTTTGCAATAACATACCATTCTTCATAAGAAAATTAATGCGTTTATTTGGATTATTTGAAGGAAAATCTCGAATCAAATGGCGTATTTATTTTGGCTTCATTTTTGTGAATTTCATTTTCTGGCAGCAGAGAGAGAGGGGGTAGTGTCACGGAGCCAAAACTATCCATAAATCAAAAACAAGGCGTTTGCCCTTTTGCTCATTGGCTACTATGGTGGCGTGTACCCTAAATGCATTCGTTCGACTTCACGTCTAAACGAGAGCTTCGAATTCGTAGTTTACAACTAGACTCTACGTGCAGGGTAGGTGGCGTGAATTATAGGGTTGTTTTTCCGATACGTTCAGTGTGCTCAACTGTATCATAGCTCGGGCATGGGGCTACGTTTATTTGGTACTCTGCGGTATGATCAACTCAACGCGTATTATAAACTGCAACTTTATGAGGTCCGGTTTGTATTTATTTACCAAAATATGGCGATTTAAAACAAATGGTTATTCAATGTTAAAACATCCAGACTGGTGCATTTAAAAATTACAGTATGCAACTGTAAAGGTCTAAAGGGAAACAAATATTTTTATACACTTTAAAACAGCTGCGGCCTGAGACAGCAAAAAACATCTACTCTACCGAGGGAAAATAACACACGTGGTTAAACGACTTAATTTTTTGCTGCAAAATTATTTCAAGCCACTTGCAACTATTTGGACTGACTGAGAGACAGATGAACAAATCGATGTTAAGTAAAATGGCTGAAAAAAACGGATATCATTTTTTGCCAATTATTTGTAACAAAATTATTTCATACAACTTCTTAAATATGCTCGATGCAACATGACAAAGATATCAAATTATAAGGAAGTGAGCTTGCCACTTACAGCTTGCCACTTAGTTTATTAGAACTACGTTAATGAAGTGTTACATGTACGTTATACAACGGATAGATATTCGTATAACTGAATAATGGTTCACATAAATCATATGTATTAACGATTGAAACAAGTTTTGTCTTAAAGTCTCGTTAAATAAATGATTTAAAAAGATCAACAAATGTTTTAACATTTCTCGAAGTTGATTAATCCCGGCCATTAAAAACCCTAAATAAATAAGGAAAAGGTACGTGATTAATCAAAGACATGTAAATGTTTTACAATGTATCAATACAACATACTAAAGAATACAGGAATACATTTTTTAAAAATTGTATGTGTATAGTTCAGTGACTAATGCCTAGGTCACATAGCCGCCGGGCGCCGGCCGATGAGTAGTCATCGGCCGATTTCTAAATCGACAGGGCGCCGGTGACTTTTCACCGATGTCTTGATCTAATCGTGAGTATGGTCACATTAGTACAGGCATCGTACGGCGCCCGCAATCAATTGAATCTGAGAGACATCGCACGGGTATCGCAAGGCTATCTGCCGATGGCCGTACGGCACCCGCCAGGACATCGGTCGATCTACAGGCCTCTAGATTTATACTAAATTCTTGTATGACCCAGTATGACTGTTCCACATGGCGTGAATGCAAGATTTGAAAACGAAATACTTCGATAGACAGGACTTCCAGGATAATAATGTTTTCATGCAATAAAAATCAGAAAAAGAAGATCCTCTTTTGAGTAAATAGGTTCAATATTTAGAAAAAAATGCTGACATGGGGTCCCTACTCATAATTTTTCAAATTGTTTCATTGATATTTTTACTATCATGGGTACTTCAATGGAAAGAAAACATATTGTTTTCATAAAAACACTGTATTTATGCCCAGGTACTTATGGTGAAAGATACGACCGTCTAAAATCACTTGCCATACTGCACGTGGTCTTCAAAGTGCACCCTGACCTTAATTCATTTTTAGATCTTTCATATAAATACTATAAATACAATGTCTAACTGTCCATTCCGATGCTATTAGCGAAATTCCCTATTTCTGCATCTTTCTTTTGTCTGTTCTCGTAAAGAGAATTTGTTTGGTCATAAAAATATGGCCTATCTTCAAAGAACTTGGCAATTTTTTCTTCTATTTCAAGTGGAATACCCTCTTCCCTAGACACATCTAAATCTTCATCATCCACCAGCTCACTAGCATTGTTATTGTCTTTTTCCACCTGTCTTCCCAAGGCCTTCCTCATACATGGCCCATTGGCCTTATCCCCAGCTCTATCCTTAGCCTTTGGCATATTAACTGTAATTGAGACAGTGAACTTTCGCATATTAAAATTGTGACCGTTGAAAATACTGTACTCACAAATACATTCAGAAGATTTTTTAAATAAATGATTTGTAATGGTATATGCATTCTATTCAATGTGTATGACAAATTAAACATACACGATTAATGTCAATATAAGCTAAGAATGACTAGATCAACTCAACCAACCAACCATTCAAATGTGTGTCATTGTTTTACAGTAAGCCTAATCGTTCCATTTATGTTTTATGAAAAATCTCTGACAGTGTAGTAATTATAATTCAATAACTCATTATTTTTAAAACCTTTATATCACTTTATAAGTAATCATTATTAAGATATATCAAACAAATCAGCACGCAAAATCCCAAGACGACCGTTCGATGCCACCGGGCGCCGTAAGATAATCGTACGATGACCGGACGGGACACGGCCGGGTAGGTACCGATTAGTTTGGTTGAGAAAAAATCGCCAAGACATCGGCAACTTTTATCTCCGAGATAAAACTCTGCCGGCGCCCGTACGATGTCTAAAAATCGGCCGATGAGTGGCGATCATCGCCCGGCGCCCGTACGATGCCAGCCGGCCGATTTTGTACAAAATACTCATCGGCCGGGCGCCTTTGTAAAAATCGGAGCCTATGTGATGCCTTGGTCACATAGGCATCATCAAAGAAAGATGCAGAAATAGGGATTTTGCTAATAGCATCGGATGGACAGGGAGTAGACATAGTATTTGTTTATATGAAAGATCTAAAAATTGATTAAGGTCAGGGTGCACTTTGATGAAAAGACCACGTGCAGTATGGCAAGTGATTTAAGACGGTCATATCTTTCACAATGAGTACTTTCTACTTTAAAACACAATATTATCAAAATGGTTGTGCTAGTTTATTTCTATGAACATAACAATATTGACATGGATTTTTACAATGTAGGACACCTGAAATTATTTGTTATGCTAGGAAATGGGTCAAAGTGAATTTCGCGAGACAAAAATGGCGGCCATTTTGAAAATAGGCGAGCTTTTGAACCAGGAGTCATAGGGGAGTTTTCTGTATTGATGTTGAACAGAAATAACTTAAAACAGGAATCCTATCGACAGAGGTTTTAAAACGTGCCACTGTTGTTGACGGAAAAGTGGATTTCGCGAGTCGGATGGACAAATCAATGTTAACTAAAATGGCTGAAAATAAAAAAAATGGATATAATTTTTCGCTGATTTTTTGTTACAAAATTATTTCATATATCTACGATTTACATTGACATGGATGTTTACAATGTAGGACACCTGAAATTATTTGTAATGCTAGGAATTGGGTCAAAAGTGAATTTCGTGAGACAAAAATGGCAGCCATTTTGAAAATAGGCGAGCTTTTGAACCAGGAGTCATAGGGGAGTTTTCTGTATTGATGTTGAACAGAAATAACTTAAAACAGGAATCCCATCGACAGAGGTTTTAAAACGTGCCACTATTGTTGACGGACGGACGAACGGACAGACGAACGACGGACGGACGGCCTCGCTATATCCCTACCGAACTTCGTTCGTTGGGATAATAAGCAAATATATAAGTGGTAAATCTAAACTATATTTCCAATAATTCAAACTACTAAAGTACATATCTATGATAACTGGTGGGTAAATTCTTTTGACAACGATTCACAGATGCAATCTGTGTACAGGTGTAATGTCATACGTATACATCCTATCTATTTTTCTATTCTATTACTTTATACAGTATTCTATTGATTTTGATTCACTTTAGTTTAAATTCACAGCCTTATGATGAACCATATGAGTATATGTACACGAAGTCCAATTGCTAAAGTTCTATTCTTTAGTACAGTTATTAATATTTTAAACCGTCTAATCTTGTTCCGAAACCTTGGGCCCAGGAAACAAGTTTGAAACATTCCAAAGATATTTAAGCCTTAGTTAAATTTGCTCTTACGACGAGCGTATGGCGCCCGTAGCTTCACAAAATCGATATAGCAAATCTACATCGTGCCTTTATTTCATGCTGCATATTTCTCTCGATTTTGGGAAGCTACGACCGACGTACGTTTGCCGTAGATCAAATGACTGAGGCATTAGACGGAACTAATTAGTTACAACAAAAACTTCATTTGGTCCAATTGTACGAAGCTTGTGGAACCTTGGCGACACAGAATGATTATAGCAAGATGTATCTCTTCAATGCATGCCAGCATTCCAGGCAGACAAATTCTATGTGTCTGTGTGTCACGTTTGGTATGGTGAGTTAAGGTTGCCCGATGGGTGTATTCTCAGAATAACGTATTGGTTTGTTGTCAGAGCTACTACAACGGCTACTGTCGTCATCGCTATCCATATTTCCCGTGGATATAGACCGCTTTGTCACTCTGAAAGTGTCTTTGTAGTTTGTGACAGGTTCGTCGTTGAACTCTTCGTATTCAAGTTTATTTTTATCTCGTAGTCTCCCAATTAGTATTATCGTCCCAAATATAACTGTTCCCAAGAGGTACAGAGTTCCGATGACATAGAATACGTCATCATACGACTGACGTATATCGTAGATTGTACCTAAGTAAACAAGTGCAAAATTTCAATAAAACTTATTTGATTGTCGATTAGTAACTACCCTGCACGCAGAGTCTAATTATAAACTACGAAGCTCTCTTTTAAGAAGTGAAGTCGAACGAATGCAAAGGGCAACTGGACCATGGAGGTCCTCTAGAAGACCTTTGCAGCATAAGAGACGAGTTGATGTAAACTTTTATTAAAGTTACCGCAAATTGACATTCACAGCATTTCTTGCCGTGTCTATTTTCCAAATATGCCAATTAAGGGGTTGATTTTGTATCATACAAATTTTAATTGTGAAGCTTATTTTGCAGTAAATCATATAATTGTACATTTTTTGTCTTAGATCTTTAATTATGTCCATACCATAACAAGGTGATTGAGAATTTTTTCGGGAAACTTTACTTTAGCTCTCGGCTGAATGTAGATGCATATTGGAGTTTGTTTGAACGGTAGTATTGACTTCATACATACACGACATCTTTGTTTATCTATGCTTATCGTATTTTACAAACATCTTTACTTATTTCCGTCATGCGCGTTTCACAATTGTAAAATCAGGATTGGAAGGCAGGTTAAACAAACTAGAACTAGAGTTGTGATGTGTAGGCATACTCACCAGAAAACAGTGGTCCTAGAAGTATGCCAAATCCACACCACATGTTAGTATGCGACCAAGCGACATCTATTGGTAGCTGCGTCACTTCACCAGATGCCGCGTAAGTATACACTATTGTAAGGCCTAGAAACGCGCCCATTACTGCAACAAAACAAGATGCAGCGTTATAATAACGAAGAACGCATAACATACATGTTAGTGTTAACGTTAAAGTTATTAATATAATTTTCATTAAATCTTGCCTTACCTCTACACTTCCAAATTTTGATTTTGAAGCATCATATCAGTTTTACTACATTTTACGACGGCGATGACGTAATAAGGGATCGGGCGGACATATTCACAGCAGGATTTTTTAATGATGTGCACCTCAACATACATGACGTAATTTACATTAATTTACATTTACTCATACACACCTGAGGAAAGAGCGAGTATTGCATCGTAACCAACGTCTACAAAGGGCCACATGAAGCATATGATACAAAGAGCTACCGAGGCGAACAGATTAACGAACACCAGCCGTCCTTTGAAAAAGTCGCCGATAATGGAAGAAATGACGTATGTAATACACTCTACCAGGCTCAAAAGGGTCAAGGCCCAGGCACTCTGGACTGTATCTATACCTCGTTTGTCCATGTAGAATGCCTAAAATGGAAAATTCATGCCAAATCCCAGTTACACGTCGCACGAAACTGGGGACAATTAGCGTAACATTATGGCGTCAAAAAACCAAAACAAAACAATGAGCAGTATAGGGCGCAAACAGCTTTACAACGTCAAAAACGACAAGCGTCACATTTTTTACAAGTTTACTCAACCTAAAAATAAAATACTTTATCCTTATCTAATCTTTACAAAATTCACAGGGTAGCAAGATCTCGAGGACAATATTTCTAAAATGTTTTTGAATTTTGAAAAACGGTCAAGAAATCCATTTGGGGCGTTAGTAAATATTGATATGTATGGAATTTGTGGTACAAAATCGATGCGTCACATTTTTTCAAGTCTCGAAAACCAGCTATTATTTTAATATTACTTGCAAAATAGACAAACTGGTTATTGTTTTGTAAATTTCGCCATGACGATATTGTGCAGTTAATTTTTCTTTCAAATCAGACCTAAATTAGAAGGTTAAATGAAGGTAAACTTATTGCTCGTCCCATTCGCCTTCAAAACCTTACACAATTTTTAAATTTTTAAAAGCGTTCGTTTTAAGATAATTTGAACTGTAGCCGTCAAGCAATTGTGACGTCATAAATGCACATGTTCGATTGAATAAAATGTGAAATTTTAGTGCGATTTTGATCATTATTTCAAAAGTTGTCCCAATTTCAACGAGCCCCGTAAGCGCAAAGTGTTACGTCTTACAGCGTATTTGACGATGTCGGGGTATATTTAACTTTAAAAATATGTAGGATCCCATCAAAATTTTGAAGGAAAAATAATTTCACTGAAATGCAAATAAAAAATACTTCAAAAAGGTATATAAAACACATAGTTAGCTTTTTAAATGAGGCAGAGATTAACGCTCAAAGCTGAGATCAGCCCGCATTTCCCGAATTGTCCCCAGGTCCTTGCACGTCATAAGTCGAATTTAAATTAAACTTGTATTCTGATCGCGAATCGTATTTTAATCGCGGATGGAATTATTTCAATTTAGATTTCGCAAGTGACATGGATCATTGGCGTTAATGATAAATGTTGAAACTATGAAACTCCCTAAGAGTTGTATTTTTGTCAAAGACTGATATTTATTTGGGACGTTTCAAAGTTAAATAGGAGAAATAAATAGCTAGAGTACTCTATCTACTGTAGGCACAATGATTTAAAGGAACAGAAGAAATATTCTAGGTAAATATCAGTCTGATTTCATTATTTCAAGATTAGATGATTACTAGACTTTGAATATATCCAATGAAACTCTAAATTATTCCTACCAAATTAAGAAATGGCATATAGAATCCTAAATAGCTAAGGAAATTGCCGACCAGCCATAAAACGATTTCTGGTCTTCGACGGACTTCTTTCAGACTGGACCATGGCTTTAAACTAAAGCTATTTTTCTTTTCTTCTATTTTCTCCTCCTCAATCGAAGGGTTTTCGTCGTCTAATTTCTCTTCAGTGTATCCCGGTTTGGACTTTGGCTTAAAGAGGGTACAGCAGGCTAAGCCTATGACGAGGATCAGACCACTCGATGCCCTGAAAGCCACTCGCCAACCATACGACTCCAAAATCCATGCGTTTAGTGGGTTGAACAACAGACTACCTATGGAAAAGAATCAATACAATTGCTTTAAAGATGCACTTTGAATCGAGAGAAGTTAAAATCAATTTTTTGTATCCAGAGGTGTTTTTCTTCCGTTTAAACACGAAACAATTTCTTATAAAAGCATGTTCAAAAATTAAGTGACCCAAACTATAAACAGATGAACTTACCCACAGGATACCCGCATAATAATATACTGGTGGCCAGCACGTGGAGGTTGTGCGATTTATCAAAATAGTCCCCTATTATTAAACTGGACGACATGTAAATTAAGCTGGAGCCAACTCCATAGAGTAAGCTATGGGTTAAAAATAACCATTCTTGAGAATGGATGAACGATGATCCAAGACAACTTATGCTGAGGCATAACGTTCCTGCGATACCAGTTATTCTATACCCATTGGGCCCTAAATACCGGATCAGCATAACAGACAGAGGTGAGAACGATAGAGAAATGGCAAACGATAATGTCCCAATCCAATCTGAAATGAACATCAATATCGATGTGTAACAAGAACATACGAGAAGGGGTTAATTGAACTGTCTATTCTACTGAAAGGTGTAAGATTAAACACTGTTGATGCCAATGAACACTTTAAATTCACTTGGACAATGCATAATCAAGTAATGGTTTTGCATATTGCTAATTATAAAATAACACACATATAGTCATGTATGAATGGTACATTAAAACACGTGGTAGTTGAGTTTAATTGGTCCAGTTGCCATATGTCCTCGAAAGATTAATTTGATGAATAGACATGTGTATAGAATAATAAAAGACAGATTGCGAAAAGAAAAGAGCATTAGTACATTAGGTTTCGGAATTCTTACTTTGTTCAGCTAATGGTTTGTGGTAGGTATCTTCGAGTTTAACAACAAAGATACCAAAGCTGTAGGTGATACCACTGCGAATAACGGTGATGATAAGAACAGCAAGGCAGATCATCCATCCCCTTGCGTCCCTCGCAAACCACCCACAACAACACGAAGGCACCGGAACAGACGGCAGCTCATAACCAAAGTTGAATTTAAAATTCATCGTGATTGTCTCGTTGATTATACGTAAACAATGTTTTAGTAAGATTATTTGATAGTCATTGTGGGATTTTTGTAGCTTTTGTAACGATGTCTTTCAGAGGTTCATTCTTGTATAAGGTTGGACATCTCACGTACTGAAACAAAAATCAGAAGTCTAATTTTAGATTGTTATTTACTGAGATAATATACACTTAGCTTGGTGGCAGCTTCGAAAGCAATGTCTTCTAGACACGCATGGATTTGCTTAACGAAAATAGAATTAAAAAATAAATAGACTCATCACTTTACTATGGAGAACTAGAATGACATGCTAAGCACACAATTTCCACGTCATTGAGAATCTATTTCCGATATTGGGATTTTCGGATCTTCGAGTTATTTTCCAGAGACAGCCCCATCAGATACCGTATCTTAGTTCCAGCGAAAAAATAAATGATGCGAAAGAGGTTTAAAAACATGCATGTCGTTAACTACCTTCGAGCAAATAATTGGAAACGAAATAAATCGATACCAGAGGCTATTTAAAAGAGAAATATTTGCATTGAAAAACGCCGGCAATCTGAAAAAACACTAACGTATCTTCTTGACATGCTTCTGAATTTCAATTCAAAGGGTTTACATTATTACTTATTTCACTTGAACAACCTATGGATCAATTTTGCATGTCCATACCATCTAATTACCCAAAGAAGCTTGTCAAATTCAAGTTAATTTTCTTCAAAATAACATATAATCGCAGCTCTATAATCAATTATGTCTCAGACTCTTCGATTTTATTCTACGCGCACGACTTTACAGGAAATCCATGAATAATCTAATACGTTTTATTGTTTTCTGATATTGTTTGTGTTTTTGTTATAATTTGCTTTTTGGCCAGGTATTTCAACCTCACGAACCCCAGGCTCTCCTGGAGACCGCGTTTATATGTGAAATAACTCGTGAAAACGAATAGTATAAAACATGTCATATTGACAAAGCTCATTGACAAAACGTAAACTTTCTATCTAACAAACAAACTAAGCTTACAAAATATGAAGTCTATTGCAAAATACACGAAACGATCAAGTAGTCTTTAATATATCTCTAGAAGTGTTTAAATAACAGATATATCAGGAACTACCTGATCCTGGCTTGGCGGATGGTGCTCGGATTATTGCTAGAAAGAAGTACCAGTGAGCAGAACATGAAAGGGTACAAATACTGTACATTAATGAAAATCTAAGTATTAAATGCATTGTCAGGACTCTCGCCAAGATGGTTTATGAGATGAATCTTATAACTTCCTCCGTGAAACTCTCTGTAATGGAATCGCTCAACCATTTAATTCAATTAGTGACATCTGATCAATCAGGAACGAGGCATTGTATCTGACTAAATGGTACAACTTCCCAACTAAAGAATATAATTTCCAAAGTAAATGGTACAACGTCTTCATTAAATGGTATGATTTCTCAACTGACTGTTACAATATCGTAAGTAAATAGCACAACCTCCCTATCAAATGGTATAGAGCTTCCCAGGAAAAGAATACAAAGTAAACGGTTACATGTCCTCTCTGAATGCAACCTTTCTCACTAAATGGTACAAGTCACCCCCTTTAATAATGGGCGCAATTTCCACACTAAACAGTACAATTTCAACACTGAATGAAAACATTTGGAATTGTTTTTGAATTGTTTCTAAAACTCAAAACGTAAGTAGACTAATATCATAGGTGGTCCAATGGGTATTCAGGTGTTTTCCCAGATTTTTGAAAACAAGTGTAGTTCGATGTTTTGTAATTTTGACTCATACGTTTGTTTTCCATGATATTTAATGGTCTCGGCCAAGTACTTCACCAGCCCAGGTCGTGAGGCTGCCTCTACCGCTGGAAGAGACATGACAATAGAGATGTGGATCATTGATAGCATAATTTAGCATCATTGCTCGTAATAAATAGAGTATCGTCTTACAGCAGCACTTTCATTGATTTCATTTTTGGATTAGTTAATTGCCATATGAGCGGCATATTGTATTTTCACGTGTATCATATTAACTGGTACTGAAATAAAAGGTGTAAATTACCACGTATAACTCATTATTCTTAGTCGATAATACATTATGCTAGAGATAATTATAAACGAAATATGCATCAATTGATGCCTTAAACGTACCCGGTTTTCCGGAAAGGTGGAACTTATCGTTTTCGAGTGTCTCCCTCTCAAAGTTGTAAGAGAATGACTAACATGATTGTTATTAGCATTTATTGGATAAACGTAACGCTTCCTTTCATAGCTCATATCGGCGGGGAAGTTGGAAACTGTTCTGCGTGTCCATATCGGCCTGTTTTGTCGACTACACACTTATGGATATAATTTACAAGTAATTATCATTCACTATTATATGGGATTCTTGTTGAAAGAACATCTTCAAACAGATATTTTTCTTTTTTAAAAGGGCGTCTATTTTTAGTGAAAAACACATTTACTCCGATATGCCCCTTGAAATGGTAGCTGTCTCTAGTATTTCCCGAAATTGTAAGGTATTGACCTCTCTAATCTACATATTCAGACATAATACATAGTTTCGATTAGTTCTGTAGGATTTGCCTCATTTTAGCATTGTTGATTGTATTCCGTTAATCCGTAACTTGGTTTAAAACAGAACGGTTGGATAACTCTAGTTCACTTATTTCTCCAAAAACAAAATGAAATGACCAAATATTGCTTTTTTGACATCTTGGTTCATTTAGTTATCTCACAATTAAGATCGTTTGAATCATGTCCTTGTTTCGTCTAGTGTAGGTTAAGACCCAAATCAGATGGAGCAGATGTACCACCACGCTATCTGTCAAGACTAATACCATTGATTGTTTCTACGGGTAAGCAAAAAGGACATCTCTTGTCCCTGTCGGCGATTAATACAATGTTTTATCTTGTTTGCCAGTTTTCATATTCCTAATTGGATAAATACGGATAATACAGATGATATTTTAGATTAACTTTCAATGCTAGATCCCCAGCTCCACTGCCCTGGATTTGTGAGGGAATATCGAATTTTGATCGAAGCAACTTTAATTTTGGAGATCGTTCGTAAATATTATGTACATGTCTTGTATACGTATGTCACACATACATCACTTTAGGTTTCGCATACTATATAATGAATTATTTGCAGCAGAGTGCGAGGGCGAGGTGAAGTTTCAACAGGCCAAACGCAAACTGATTTTAGAACAATAACATGAATAAATATCTTTAATTGACCCTTACGCACCATGCCCGTGGCCATCATAAGGGACAATGAGCGGATGATCTCTACGATCAAAACACTAGAACGTAATTATCGGCTATTCGACAAACTTGTCCCTTTGACTTATCTTGCTATACCTCAATGAATACATCTTCCGAGAATAATAGAGACACTAAATTAGGAAGAACTCTCATTTATAAATACGATCTCATGCGTCAGGGGCATATATCAATATATTTATAAACTTCTTATATAAAAGCGTAGATCTATATACACCTTGTATGGTGATCCTACGTTCTGATACTGAGAAAATCTTTCTGCTTTTCATGTTAGAAATAGCCAAAGACTGATCAAGTCTCCAAACAGTACAGCAAAGTTATGATTGTTTTTCAGCTTCCTAAAGATAGGTTATCTATTAACGTTAATCCAAAATCATTCATTTTTGGCCTTTCGTGTATTGAGATGCAACATATATTTCATATGGATTAGACATGAATCCTCAACGTCGAGGCTATATTCTTCAAGACAAAATCACCGATCATAAATCAAGAATACCATGCAACCAAATTAAGGCGCCGCAGTAGGAAATTACATGTTTCTACAAACTGCTCTGGTATATCCGTTATTGTGTCGCGTTGTTTTTTACATTAACCAACCTTCGAACAAGGACATGGATCTCCAACCACGTGTGTTATTTTCCCTCGGTAGAGTAGATGTTTTTACGGTCTCAGACCGCAGCTGTTTTAAAGTGTATAAGAATATTTGTTTCCCTTTAGACCTTTACAGTTGCATACTGTAATTTTTAAATGCACCAGTCTGGATGTTTTAACATTGAATAACCATTTGTTTTAAATCGCCATATTTTGGTAAATAAATACAAACCGGACCTCATAAAGTTGCAACTTATAATACGCGTTGAGTTGATCATACGGCAGAGTACCAAATAAACGTAGCCCCATGCCCGAGCTATGATACAGTTGAGCACACTCGCCGTAGGGGAAAAACACCCCTAATTAACGTCACCTACTCTGCACGTAGAGACTAAGCTTTCGTTTAGAAGTGAAGTCAAACAAATGCAAAGGGTACACGCCACACCATAGTTGTCAATGGGCAAAGGGGCAAACGCCTTATTTTTTGATTTATGGATAGTTTTGGCCCCACTGACCTATCTGAGGTCTATAATATGCAATGTCCGAGCTACATTCGGACACTAAACTCAATAGGATTCAAACGTCTACTTTTTGAAATAATCGGCCAATCGTGACACTACCCCCCTCTCTCTCTGCTGCCAGAAATTGAAATTCACAAAAATGAAGCCAAAATATATACGCCATTTGACTCGAGATTTTCCTTCAGAGGCCTTGTTATAACACGGGTAAGTGCTGATGGACCGATTACCACAACCCCTGATCATAGCGTGCTCCATTATCAACCCTTATTGTAGCTCCGTTTGCGTACACGCTCTTGGCATTATTTCTAGCGTTCCCTGTCTATGCAACCAATGCCATCATGAGAAATCATGGATTTCTATATAGATCCATTACCATACAACCACCCTAGATCTATTGCCATACCAGTACAACCCCTATTAAAGATCCATTACCAGGCGACCCCTATCATACATTCATTACCATATACAACCCCTATTATAGATCCATTACCATACAACCCCTATCCTAGATCCATTACCATACAACCCCTATTATAAAACCTCTACCATATACATCCCCTACCATAGATCCATTACCATACAACCCCTATCATAAAACCATTACCATATACAACCCCTATAGACCCATATGCTCCATATCTATACCACTTATCAAAACTTTATATAAAGTATACGCTGCAAAAATAATAACGTAACTTTATCTCCCTCTCGCATTTAATAATTTTGAACGAGGTGTGTC